CCCCCCCCCCCCCCCCACCCGGCTCGTCGAAGCTCATCACCCTAGTCTGCCTATTGCTGCTCGAGGGATAAAATGGCAGTTCCTGGAACCCCTTAGAAGTCTCAACGACACCGCTACGAATAGCGTTTTGTACAGAGAGCAGTGCGGGGTTCGGCTCATTTTCTTCCACGACGTCGCCGAACTCTCCCCCCCCCTCTGCACCGCCGTCCCCCGTCAAATCTACCCAGCGCTACTCTTTCTAGACTCCACGGCTCAGCACTCCTTGGACGCCACCGTGGGTGGATGGATGCCCCGGCGAACTCGGAATCGCGATTCGACCTAACGAGCGCCGCGAGGACGTGCCTACACTGCCACCCCCGCCTCATGACCTGCAAGCACGTGCACATTTGGAATCTGTCTGGGCCTAGGACAACGAGGTGACTGACGGTGGGCGACCGATATTTGTACGACACCTTGACGCCAGCGTCGATCTTGACGTTCGCGACCAGCCGGAAGAACGATTGCAGACATATGGCGCCAAACTTGGTTTCGGGGTTATCTTTCCCGTCGAAGGCCTCTCTTGGTACCTCGCAGCACACGTCTCCGTTGCCATCACGATTGCTTGGATGCGCGGTCAAGTCCTCGAGGAACCGCATCGACCCTTTTCCCTCCACCAAGACCTCCGGGCAATAGTAAAGGAATGTTAACATTTCCGACATGAATTCCTGACAGACACATGAGGACAGGCCAAAAACAAATGCACGAACAGCAGTATTAGGATCGCGAACGCTCGGTAGGCGGGTGGCAGGTACCCCGGCCTGGCGTTCTTACCGAAGCGTTTGCCATGTACTCCCTCACAAGACAACAGGACGAGCCGAGGGCGAGTTGCCATTGCGGTGCGTACACTCTGAGCGTAGCTACTGGCTCCAGCCTTTTCGCACTCTGTCATGATGGGCTTGATCATTTGCTTGATGCTGGAGTCCACGTACGGCCATGCAGTCACCTTGTGTTGTTGGCTGGAAGGAGAAAAATAGCGCACGACAGCAGTGGCGGTCGAAAAAAAGCGCGTGAAAGTGGTGGTGAGCGTAGGCTGGCCAAACGAAAAGACTATGCACCCACACCCGCATAATACCACCCCCCCCCCTCAAAAAGAACATGCCAAAATGGAAATATATTGTACACGGCATTTGAACAATTTATACGTTTGCCGCTACGAGCACTGGCGCCCCGGGACACTCACTATCTCGATTCCAGCGCAAGATTTGAGCAAGACGATCCACCGCTTCCCTCACTGCGCGAAAGGTGGCGCTCTCTCCGACTCTGGCGTCCGTCTTGATAGTTCTGAAACTGGCCTTCGCACGCTGCGAGGTCGTCATTTCCATCGTCATGGTCGTGGGATGATAGCAGCGTGCCCAGTGCTCTCGTTGACTGCAGACAAAATTTGCGGTATAGGGTGTTGCCGGGAAGTCATGTCATACGCGAGCGTCGTGAATAGGGCAACACCGCCTCCGCCCCTAAACTAGACGAACTGGCCGCCCAAACACCTGGGCAAAGGGCCATTTACTTACTCGTATAGGTCGCCGTTGACGTCTGCGCAGCGAGCGCTCCTGCAACTCTTCCCAAATGTCTTGGAATGCCTGCGACCGGCGTCGGGAGTAGGACTGTCTCGGGTAAGCTGCAAACCGGAAATAAGACTGAATACCGATATGTATTTTTCCTTTTTGGGTCGTTGAGGTTCGCTGGGCCCTTCGAGTCGAAAATACGTGAGCTGAGTAAGCTGTTCGAGCTTGGAAACCGTTACTGATAGCCGCTGGCAGTCGATTCACACCAACACTGCTTTACTTCATCTTGCATCACGCCGTGATGGCACTAATACTATGCTCTGCTGAGTCCGTTCCCGCAATACGAATGTGATCGGCGTACTCGATGAATGTATGTTCTGCGGGGCACCTGACCTTAACAGGGTATGGATGAGTCAGAGACTGCAGGGTCCCGTCTGAGACTTGCTCCCCTCGGTTCAGTTTGGGATAGGGTTCGGTTAAGGTTGGTTTGAGGTGGGTCGTGTGTGGGTTGGTCCGGTAGAGACTGAGTGCGGTGGTGCACAAGACGAAAAGGAACACGTGAAACATTGTTGACTCGTTGCTGAGGCATTTCGGGTGCAAACGGAGCACACACTATATACGCTCGCAGAGACGCTGAAACAAACGTGCAGCTTTCACGGCCGGGCAGCAACGTTCGCGACCCACCTGCTTCGACGTCGCGAATGATGCCGCTGTGTACTTTCTAGTCAGATCGGTGAACATCTTTCCCCCACAGTGTTTTCTGAAGGTGTTGGACATGTGCCACGAGCAGTAGAGGTGCAAGATGTGGGGCAGAAGCTCGGCAGCCGAACTCGTCATGGCAGCGTCAGCCTCGGTGATGAGAACATGGAGGGGACAAGTGGTGCACAACAATGACCCTATTGTGACGACGAGTTATGCCGGGCGATATTCGGGAACGCATTCTCTCTACAATACGAACTACTTCTTCACGTGAACAGCTCACCTTTGGGTGTGCCCCGCATAGAACCTACTGGCGAAATCATACGAAGATTTGACGTCGTCGTTGCTGAGAAACCCTTGGGCAAAAGTGAGTGTCTTGTTCTCCGAGTCGACGCCCACGAACAAGCACAGCTTCAAGTTGTACCTGTAGCAGCAGAGCAAAAGAGCACCGTAAACCTGTGCATCCAATGCTGGGGTGGTGCACCACCACCCGATTGCCCTCACCCATCAACGCGCGTACCGTATACAACACAAGACAACACACCCCCTTGGACCGATCATCGAAGCTCGATTATTCGATACATTTTCGGAGAGCTCTCAACCAGACGGCTTCAAGGCCGCCATTTTCGGCGCTGCGACTCTTTCTGCTGTTGGTAAATCAAGCTTTGAAAATCGGTCCTGGGGGTGTGTTATCTAGTGTTGGCTAGGGTATGCGCAAACCTGTTCGTACGGCTCATGGTGTCCTGGATGACTATGCCGCCGAACTTTCTCGCGAGATCAACCTGTTCTTGCAATGACCACATAACAGACCGCAACGCGTTGTCAGCGTCGGATTCGCACTGCACCCTCACCTTTGCCGCTTCCAGCTCCGCAATGAGATCACGGGAATCCGTCGACGGCGCCCATTTCTTGCGTGATATCTTCCTCGACATGCTTCGCACCTGACATTCGGAGAGCAGTGTCAGAAAACGAAACTTGTGTACGAATGAAGGCCTCGAACTGCATAGATATACCGTCGAAATAGGAGCACTCTCATCGCAGTCACGATTTCGTGGAAGCGCACTGGGATGGAAAACGTTTTAACGTTTTGTATATTTCATGAGACCATGCTGGCAGGTATCACCCGAACAAGAAGGCGAGGACTCAGAAGAATTAACCAGTCCCTCCCGATCGATCACCTTTTGTACGCCGCTCAGGCCGAGTTTGCGGGGCGCTATGCTCGCCGCAAGGTAGCGATACAGCACGTATATTGGGACACCAGCTGAGGTCATCATAGTAATGTCTCGCGCCCATTCTTGTTCGAGCTCTTCAGGAGGGATCGAGTTCGCCTCGTATTCGTTCCAAGCAACATCTTCCATAACGCAGTCAACGTGATGCTCAAGGTGAACCAGAACAGATGCCACACGAAATGGGGGAATCAAGGATGTTAAGCCGTCACTCAAGGAAATAAAGCTGAACGTCCACATACATGACGTGTGCTATATTTCCTGCTGCCGATGTGCTCGCCGAACGGCAAGGTTGGAGATAGACTACTCTGTACTCTGTTGATTTTTCAGAACTAGCTGTGATAATATATAAGTAAATAGGAGTGCGGGCATTTTGTGTTTTGGGTATTTACGAAGCATGATTTGTCCGTGCGGTGGTGGAAAGGAATATGAGCACTGGATTGGACGACTGAAGAACCACACAGCAACCCCGGATGGGCATCGTGTCTGTACTATTATCCCTTGTGTGACAACCACTTCAGGGTAGGGATGCGGCACGGAAACAATCGACAGTGATGCACGAAGTAGAGAAGAACGTGGTTTGAGGTCGTGGGGGTGGTCTTTTCGTCACCTTTTAGATCGTCGGGGGGCCCTTCGTGTTCCAGATTACGCCCACTTGGAACTCGCAGCCGTACTGGAAAGCCAACCAATATAGACACGAGCAAAATAACGGTGTTGCGGAGAGATCGACAAGGGAGTAGCGAGCGAAATCACAGTCGAAAGTGGGTGTCATCTCCTGCAGTTCCCCCGGAAGGTGAACGACAAGTCCTGGTGATGACAACCATCTCGGAGACAAGAAGAGGTGACGGATATATTTTCACACCAACCAAACAAGAAGTATTCGGGCGGGATGTGTTAAAGGGGGGCATTACAGAGGGTGTGTGGAAATGCGCACCTTCTTCGTCCGCTGCCTGACTCCAGAGCTCTTCTTGGGTCTTCCCTTTCTGTAGGCAACGCAGCGTATATCGATCTTACCTCACCTCGATCCACCTGCGATGGTCAAGTACCGGGTAGAACGCGTTTACGTTTGCTGTGTTTACTTCAGAGGCATGTGTAGGTTTGTTATTCGACTGCAAGCATCATGGCGTACGTGCGAACATATCAAACACTGATTGCAGCGTCAGCCAATTAACACACCTTTTTGCCTTTGACCGCCACCGTCCTGCCGAAAAACCCTCGACGACGAAGCTCCCTTTCGATTTTGCGTATGACCGTGTGCCATGTTTCGTCCGCGTCGCCATTCTCAGCGAAAGTGAACCCTTTCTCGAGGTCGATCGGGTCATGGTTTTCCCCTTCATCGTATTGTTCATCGGCCGCGGAACGAGGGTAACACGGCGTATTTGCACGTAGCCGACACGCACACTTAAAATGCACGGCATGAGGCATCTTCCGAGACGTGTTGAATACGGTCCACGAGTATATTTTGCAACCCTGCCGCTCTGATCTGAGGTCTTGTGTGTACATGCATGTCTGCCAGCGCTAGGTTGTGCTGGGCGTCTGTTGGAAACTCGTGACTTCTGGAGAAATATGTGGTGTATTAATGAGAACTTGCCCGGAGAGACAGGTCGGCAAGGTGGAGTGAGCACGGTGGGCTGCACTCCCCATGGCTTCTCGCTACAGCTTTTCCTCAGCACTAAATCTATTCGCTGCAATCTACTCGCTGCAATCTACTCGCTGCAATCTACTGACCTTTGTGTTACGTTTCGTTACAATACCAAGTATCACCTACTACACCGCAATACACGTCATACATTCGATACTACAGCCACAATTCACGAACACCCTCCCTTGGGGCTGTCGTCTCGACCAGACCTAATAATACAAAATCAGATACTAACTCAGATCTCTACTTCTCAGCTACTGAGCCAAGGACAAAGTCACGGTGAACTTCAAAAAGGTTTCTCGGTAGAGCCTTTGTGAGGATGTCAGCATGCTGCTCCTTGCTTGGGACATGGGTGACCTCGATCACGCCCTCCTCCGTCAAATTCCTAAGGAAGTGGTGCCTCACGTCAATGTGCTTACTCCTACTCGAGCTAAGCGGATTCTCTGCAAGCGCAATCGCTCCTTCGTTGTCCTCAAAGACGTCAATTTTCCGAGGCTTCGCACTAGGTCTCAAGAACTGAAGCATCCCGTTCACAAAGAGAGCCTCCTTATGCCAGCCTCGCGGTCGCGACTAAATGCGCAACCAAGAAAGAATCTGACTTCTCCCAAATTCTTCGTAGGAAGAGAGTCACTTAGTGCCGCTACAATCACCTCGGCAAGCCTCTTCGTTCCTGCATACAGAATGTCATCCACATGAATCGCGATAATACCCATCACC